CTCTTCTAGGCTACAATTGCATTCGAAATGATCGCCAAGATAGCCGTGGTGGGGGCAGCTGCGTCTACGTTAAGCCAACACTTACATGTTTGCCGTTGGACCTCCCGCACTTTTCAGCAGTAGAAGGCAGCTGTGGCTCCAGGTTGCACTAAAAAATAAGTTCTCCTTACTCGTTGGCTGCGTCTATCGTCCTCCGAACGCCAACGACAATTTTGATCGTTTACTCTCACAAGCATTTCATGCTGCGGTCGACTCAAGCTTTAAGTATCAATTGGTTGCGGGTGACTTTAATCTCCCTGAAGTCCGCTGGTCTCCGCCTTCAGGCCCCAGAAGGTTCGATGACTTTCTTGAGGCTGTGGATGTTGGGATGTGGAATCAGGTTATCGAGGATCAAGCATACTTGACCTAATTTTCTGTAGAGGCTGCATGCCATCGTCGGTGTCATCCCTAGGCCCACTGGGGGGCTCAGACCATGACATATTTGTTTCAACGTTGGAATTCGAGGCTGACAAAACGTCGTCCCAAAGTATAGCTTTTTCCGCAATTTCCAATCAACTCGCTCAACCGAATTGTTAACACACCTTAATTCCTACGATTGGACTGATTTCTTCCTTAGTTCGGATGTAAATGTTTGCACTGCAAATATGTACGAAATTTTGGATCCGCTTATTTCTCGTTTTGTCTCCCGTAAGAAGATTATTAATGTTGGGGATGGGGTTTTCCTACCCTTAACCTTCCGTCGCAGATTGCGCAGACTTTATCGTCGTTTCCATCTGCAGAACGATGTTTCTGTTCTGCCCTTGATTCGTGATATTTTTGATCGAGCTAAGAGATTGTCTGAAGAAAAACAGCTAGCCGAAGAGGTCCAGTTTACCGAAAACCATTCGTTAAATGTCTCGAAACTTTTCTCTAGAAAAATACGAACTCAGAGAAAGGCGCAGTATCCCATCCTTCGAGATGATCTCGGAAATCTCATAGTTGATGCCCAGTTAACCGCGGATAGCTTCAATGATTTCCTGTCCAAAACGTTTATTGAAGACTCGACCACTCCGCTTCCGACCATCCAGTCATTGACCGGGGCAGTTCTAGAAACTATAACTTTCACTCTGTGGGATGTGACTGTTGCGATTGGGCGTTTTCGTCAATCTTATAGTCCAGGCCCTGATGGTGTCCCTGTAAGCATTTTAAAAGCCGATGCAAACACGATCTTCCCATCCCTCTTATGCAAGATATTTAATCTTGCTCTTGAATGTGAAACTTACCCTACCTTGTGGAAGGAATCACACATTTTGCCCATTCCTAAGCACGACAAATCTACATCATTTGATGACTTTCGGCCAATAAACACCCTCCCTGCAGTTTCGAAGATCTTAGAGACATTGATCAAGGATAAGATGATGTGTCACTTAACAGCGAATAACTTACTGAGTGGTGCTCAGCATGGATTCCTCAAAGCTCGATCTTGTGACACCTGTCAACTCTCCTTCTTTGACTATGTTCTCCAATCTAGGGACCATGGTTTTGCACTTTACACAGTATATTTCGATTTCACTAAGGCTTTTGATCGTGTTGACCATGCTCTTCTCCTCTTGAAATTGTCATCTTTCGGAATAGGTGGCAAACTTTTGAATTTTATATCCTCTTATTTGGGCACTCGCACACAACGAGTTAGGATTTCCAATACCATCTCCAAGCCCACACTTGTGAGGAGTGTAGTCATCCAGGGTAGTGTACTCGGCCCGCTTTTATTTTGCCCTTTCGTTAATGATGTACCCGATTTATTTCAGAATGGTAAGCCTTTCATGTATGCCGATGATCTTAAAGTTGCATATCGATATAGGCCGGCAGATCATGACATCGTGCTTGAGCTCCTAAAGAGCGATCTACAGGCTTTCGCCCAGTGGTGCCGCACATGGCGCCTTTCTCTTTCTTGGCATAAGTGCTCAGTCATGGTGGTTGGCGACGACCGCCAACCACAACTAAGTATTGAAGGTCACGCAATAAATGTGCCAGGGATTATAAAGGATTTGGGCGTTTCATACTCCAAGAGTCTTAATCTCTCGGAGCACTGTGCCTTGATAGTCTCTAAAGCACGCAGCACGACCGGGTTTATCCTCCGAAATTTTAAAACTAGGGACATTAGAATGCGCCCTTTTCAACATGTACGTTAGACCTGGTCTGGAATACTGTTCGTTTTCATTTAGCCTCATGCGTGCTACTGAGCGGAAGAAAATAGAATCCGTTCAACACTTTTTTACTAAGAGAATTTTAACCCCGGAACACCGACATTTGTCTTACCAAGAACGTTGCCGGCTTACAGGCCTCGATCCTTTATGGTTCCGTAGATTACAAAAGGTACTATTTTTGCTATTTAAACTCTTATATAATCACACATTTAACCCACTCACCTCTTTAAGACATCATATCCACCCACGACGTAACAGTCACCGTGAGGTCTTCTTATTTCTGCCTCTGGCACGTACTGTTAAATATCGTCGGTTCTTTTCTGTAAACGCAATTGCTATTTGGAATAAACTACACATGAATGTGAAAACTCTGCAAAATTATCCTTTATTTAAGAGAACTATTACTCGATTTTTGCATTCAGAAAAGCTCCCACAAATTTTGGGTGCTGAAAACTCTGACCGACTGTACCGTAGCGATGGCGTTTGTGGTCTCTGAACACTATGGCCGGTCTCACCAGCCGTTCCTCGACGCCTCTACTTTGGCTATCCCCAACTTCATGAAAGGAATTTGACGTCCAATAATCTCCGATACCGTGCAACCTCCCCCCTTCTTGACGGTCGATATTCTACCACCGCCGACAGTTTTTTTCTCCTGAGCCCTCCAAACCACAAAAACCACCATCAATTATATTTTTATCCCTTTAGCTCAGGAGTTTTTTTCACTGCTGGTCGGATTTATGTTTAATCGCTTCCCTTGACAATGCCTGTAAACTCGCATTTAATAAAATTTATTTATTTATTTTTAAAATTGATGCCTGATAATAAAACGTTCCCTACATAAAAACAAACAAATGACGATTATATAGGTGGCAAAATAAAAATGTAAGGATAAAAGTTACACTTAAGAATGAGGCCATGCAGGGTGTAATTTGGAAGGTAAACAAAAATTAAAACTACGAACTATAATATATACAGAGAAAATTAGCTCTATGTGGGGGTTCGTGTTTAACCTGCAAGTAACGACAAAGAAAAAGAGTTAAAAACTGTAAAGATCAGTCATTGTATACCCTCACGAAAGTGACGCCCTCTCCAGTACAAAGTTGGTATGAAAAGCGAAGGTCCTTATGGATTACGGTACAACATTAAAGTTCCATCAAATGGATGAAGAATATCCTTCGTATTGGCCACAGACCCCTTCTTCTCAATTTGGCCCAGCCTCAGAATTGAAAAACCTGCAATCAGGTTTGGCTACCTCCCACGTGCAAATGCGGCAAAACACAAACACCAAACCCAAAAAGTGGTCATTCAAGTCCATACTATGGGAGCGGTATTACACACTGAAGTATATTTAGAACACTTCGTTTATGAGATGAATAAAGGTATTTGCACAGTGGTCTCGATGAAGTAACGTCCGCCCAAACACAGTTTAACAAAATACTGCAAGATCTCAAATTAATTGCATGAACATACACATATAATTATAATATAACATAATAATTATATCCCAGGACATCCTCAGCGTTATCATTCCGCTCTGAACATAGGGAAAACTTAAGGTAGGCTCCTGCATACATAATATATGATATCCAATAAAGGTTACGGCATTTACTGCGCTGTACACTTTACGTGTTCATTTTTTAATCCAGCCGAATACTAATTCGTTTTTTGCCATTTTTTCATGGTTTCATCGGTTTTTATGTATTTTTTTTATGTCCGTCTGCCACTACTTATCATCGCGTTATGCAGATTTGTTGGTCAGTGTGTTCTTGGATGTTCCGCATTATATACTTTATTACTCGTTTTGATGTATATATTTTGCGTACAGATTTGACTATGGCGTTCTGGATTATTCATGACAGTGGCGATTTTTATGCAGACCTACTTATCCAACCGTTCGATCGTCGTTGTCGACGACATCGACCGCATGCTCTTCGGCAGAGTGAGAACATAAAAAATGACTTGCCTTTGCGTTATCTTACAGTGGTAGTGGTCTTACGTAGCATCTTCCGCACTCTCTCTTCCCCAAACTGGATCCGGTGTTATGACATAAACAAGATGACCGGAAGTGGGAGAGGGCTGGCACAACGTAAGCGCGCACCCAGGCGTGCCACCACCCCCGAGGTTCGCAAAAAATGTACGATCAGGATTTAGACCAACAACCTTAATGGCGATGGTAGGGATCCCAACTGGCGCGGCATGAGCCTGAAGCTGGATCCGCCACCGCACCCCGAATGTTGACATTTGTTATTGATGCGCGTTCCCGATAAAGCCTGTTGGAATCCGACCTCTCTCATGTTGGTCCAACGCATCTGCCGCCTGGCTCGTTTTAGAGGCACCCAAAGAAGATATGTCTGACATCTCAGTGAACCTCAATGCAGACAGATCATATTCATGCATGACGTCAGTAACCCACTTGGTAATTTAGCTTTGTGGTTTCTTCATGAGCTGCAACATCCTTTTATTTATTTCTCTCAAATTGTGCTTTAAGATAAATAGTCATGCTCCGCTCTGTTTACTGCTGACATCTACACTGTTCTTTCTGCAGGTCTACCAGGCTCTCCAACGCTTATATCTGATGTAAAACCACCGCGGATCTTTGCAGAACGGTACCCGTTAATGCTAAACTAGGTAATGGTCGAACGTGGCTCACATGACAAGAAATTTCCATTTAATACACCAGCAAGTCTTAAAGTCTACTAATCCCCCTTTACCTACCGAACCTGAGAAATTTAACCTTGAGTGGCCGGTGCAAATATTTACATAGCAACCCCGGCGTGCCTGAGATTTGTGCTCACGAGTTTAATTTTTGCAAATATGACACACGAAAGCGCATACTATAGGATATGTGACAATCCCGAATATTTTAAGTTCAAGTACTGAGGTTTAACCTTTATAAAAACTGCAGAATATCATTTGGTTTGGTAAAGTCTGCTTTTCAGTCTGCTAAAAAGTCAGAAGTCGCAACAGAAACGTATACGTTTCATTGGCAGGAAAAAGTTTTTAGTGAGGTAAGTTTAAAGCTCTTCATATTTTGCAGTTGGAAAAAGAAAAATATGCAGAGCTTTCAAACTGTACGACGGAATTGGAGCGACTTTATCATCGCAGAGTGAAGGACATCGCGTATGTTATTATTACTCAAAAAGATTAAGCACACCGTTTAGAAAAAGGGAAACTCGCAATTATTTTTCCCTGTTCACTTATATCAACGAGGACCCTGGATTGAAATCGTTCCAGGCACGACTTTTTGAATAATTATTTCCTAGGGAAGTAAAGAACAAAGTCATTTAGCCTCGTCATTAGTCACTAATCTATCCATTAACCCCGAACTAGAAAGTGCGATGTCGTAAGATATTTTTACTTGAACTTTAACTTTTAGTGATCAACCGTTGATGACGTCGGCAAATCCGGTTATTTACAGACCTACAACTACACAAAGAATAAACAACCACTTCCCACGTGGCATTATTAAAAGAATGTGTATCTTAGCTGAATTAAATGAGAGGGGTTCCATCGAAAAACCATCTGCCCAAAAGCATAGCCGAGAAGAACTTCTTTTATGTACGATTGATCTGGATGAGCATGGTGCTTTGCGTGTGAATCCGGATTTTACAAAAGCTGATGAAAAACATAAAATCACTAATAATTCTGGAAAAGGTATTCCGTTCCCAAAGATCCTAACATAGAAAACCGAACTATCTTTTAGCAGTTTTTGAGTATACATTCGAAAACTGTTCCGATGATATGTCTGATACGGAAAAACAGAAGGAAGAATTCAACCTATTCGAGGTTTTACGATTCACTGACTAAACTTTGCTTAAGTACAACCGACAGAGGGTCGGCAGATTATTGTCCGCTGTGGGAACTAATTTCGAAACGGTTCGGATCCAATTCCGTTTTACTATTATCTTAGCCGTGTGACGGTTGGCTGCGGATTTATTTAAGGGGTGAAATCGGTAAACTATCACCTTAAAACAAAATTTCCAGTCAGTGCACGTGGATTTGAATACGACAAACTTTGCGTCCAATATTTCCTGGAGCTTCCTTCTGGTATTTCTAAACTTTCTAACTTTCCTGAAGGTTGGAAGTCGTCCTCGTCAGCTGCGCTTTCGGGATGTACACAACTTGCGTCATTTGTTGAAACTACCCAAGTTAGTGTTACTTTATCTTCAGTTGCGCTTTCTCACCTTTGACTTGTACCTTGTCAACTTAAATGTTTAATGCATATCTCCTGGCAGGACAACCCTGATCTATTCGCCAGTAATTTGTTTAAAAACACACTCAATACTACGCAATCAGCCAACGTTTTCTTTTATATGCACCGAGTCATCTATTTTTGCCCATAAAGATTAACTGGTTTTTTATCTTATGCTAGGGGGCGTTTGCCTATTTTTCATTCCCGCTGGAATTTGACATTGCGTTTGCTGAGGAAGTATATGCGGATAAAAGTGAGTGCTCGTCACTTTGAATCATTGTCTCCTTCGTGCAAATCCATGTGCTTAGATGCAGTCGCATTTTCGGCAGCTTTCCGATTTCTGTTTTCACTTGACTGCACAAAAATTATTTCGATGATGGGGTGTTTGCCCTTATAATTCCCCTTTTAAATTTGACGATATATCCTTAATTCCGCATTCAAACTATGCAAAAACAGGAAATTAGCCACGGTTATTATAAGATGTCGTTGGCAGGCAAAGTTTTGAATCAATTCCTCCTTAGTAGGCATCTTTGGCTATTTGTATATATAAAGGCTCCGATGGAGCATGTCTTTTGCCTTAATCAACTGCGAGTTACTCGATACCTATACGAGTGCGAATGCAGAAGTCCTTTACGACAATAACACTTCTGGACGGCATATCAGCAGCGTAACTATCTCAATGGTTATTGACCGCCGATTGAAGAAACCAATGTGCCTGTATTGCTGGTGCTAGGATTTCCACGTTGACTAATGTTTCTTATTCTTGTCAAGAATGCCACCTAACGGTTAGAGCATGGATGTCTGTAATGCCAAAGCGTCTGTTTACAAGACAATCGCCATGTAAGTATGGGCTTATTTGATAGGGACGCATATCCCAACAAAATGAAGCTCGAACTTCTGTGAAATAAGAAAACCTTCAATATGTTTAAACCATCGTGCAGGCACCCTCAACGTCGGGCCTTTACACGCAGCACTCCGCTGCAATCAAATCATCAATCAAAATAGCTCTCGCATCAAGCTTTTATTACAAAGTTCTAACGTCTACCATGATGCGGCCTGCGCCTTAAGCATACGCACATAACGCAACCGACTTAGCAGTGTGGGAAAATGTCGTTATCCCAGGGGCTTTTCTCTCCCCTGACTTTCAACGGGTGGTCATATGGCTTACTGACGCTTCAGTCTCCATACTTGCCTTATGTGGTGAACCGCAAGTGACAACAATTATGGTCTGGATTTTTCACAAAGAAAACGACAACTACCGTACATAATCTCTGAATAACGAGACCAAATATCTAGTGGAATAACGTTTATTACCATTCTAATGGAAGCCCAAAAACAATTACTTACTTCCGACTATCTCTTTGGAAGGTGGAGTTCTAGGCCTTTAAGGTTGGTCCAAACGTTTGCATAAAGGAGTTATTGGAATGACTAAATTCCCTTTGTCCATACTCAAAAACGAGAGAACCTCCATATCTTGAACAAATAAACCACGTATTCAATGTCTCATACGGAAACTATGCATCCAAAAACTTGCATAGCTTTACGAAATTATGGTAAATTTTCCCAGTAAGGATCGTTTATTCTCCTCCTTTTGAACTATTGTTTTGCAGAGCTTGTAATATTTTACGCCTAGAAATTTGAACCTAGGGGCCATAGTAAAATTAAGAATTTCAATATTGGAAACGGTTTTCTTTCTGCCCATTAGACGAAAACAAGACGCTAAAATGGCCTACACTTTTCATGGAGATCCTGTCCATGGATATATTTACACGTTGTCGAACAGAGGGCTACGCGTACACAGCATTACCGAGGTGTTCAGGTGAGCCGTTTTCATTTTTCACCTTACGGATTTAGGCTGTTTCGTTAACAACCTCCGTCCCTAGTTGAATTTAGCCTGTCGTGGTTAACTTCAAATACCTTTTCTTGACTGCCATCAGTAACACAAAGATCTCCGTTGAAATTATGAATAAGCGGTAACTGAACATGTGGTAAAGGCATCTCGCAAAAACTTTGTAATTATAGGATTTTGACTGTGAAGTAGGAATGTTTATGCCTAATGCACCGATAGGCGGTTACTTGCTTTATGCGCTGGAATTTCAAATAACCAATTTAGACACACTGTTAGAACTACGACAAGTAATGTCGCTTTTTTAGTCGTAACTTTAATGTTATTTAGCAAGTGTTTGTGTCTGTCCCATTTGAACTATGTACATTTTCTTAACACTTGTGTCTTATTTTTTGAATTTAAATATGCATTTGTCTTTTGAATTGGGACCAATAAAACATAAAATCCGGAAACGACCATGTCCCTCATGGCATGCTATGTGAATTGCGCAAGTGAAAAAAAACGCAACAACAGCTACCAAAACACTTTGCGATGTTTATCCGAATACCTTAGCTGTCCGCAATTTGTCTTTGGTTCGTGAAATTTCCATCGCAAAATTTCGACCTTTTCGGTAAACGTCGTCCAGGAAGGCCAGTGGAACTAGATAATAACCTCTTGCAAGCAACCGTTGAGACAGCTCTGCGTTATAGCATTAGAACCTAATCAAAAAACATAAATCCTTCATGACCTCCTGCTTATGAGCACTTTCAATAGATAGTGGAAGTCGATGGACAGGGAGTTTCGGTCCTACACCAACTTTCGATAAAAAACAGGGCTCAGCATTCCACAATCTGCAACTTTTTCCCAGGCAGATAGGAGAGAAAACCATCTTTTTAACAAAGTGCCACAAAAGATGAAAAATTGATTATTTGCGTTATTAACAAGCATGAGCATCAATGGCTTTTTACCAGTCAGACATCAGTTCCTACGCCGAAATTTAGGTTCATACCCCAACAGCGTTTTTCTTTGCGTTAATTGAACTGTTGTAAATATATTTCACTTTAACTACTGTAAAAGGGGCAGAGCACAACAACAGACCTCCATTGTCAACAGTTAGGAAGTTTATAACAAGCCGTTGCCGATAAACATCGGGCGCTAATCAATAAAATGGGTGGCACTCTACAGCATAACAATGCCAAGCTGCACTCTAGACGAAATACACAGAGCAAGATCCCATATTTGGGGTAGGAACTTTTGTTCCTCCATCCTATTCACTTCGTTGTGCGCCAACTGATCACCATTTGTCCAGATCTCTGCAGCCTTTCCTGGGTGGAAATAATTTGCGAAGTACCGATTATGTCAAAACGGTGCTCTCGGAATTATTTTTATCAAAATAAACTTCCTATTACGAAGAAGGTATTGAGAACTTAGTTTAGATATGGAAAACAGTGATTAATAATGGTGGTGATCATACGAATGGGTTAAAAGGTCTCACTTTCCGGCAAACATTCTTCTCGTCATTTTTTGAAATACGACAATACTTTAGGGTCTCTCTAATAAATATATAAATAGCACTTATTTCTTCACACGATTTAGGCACGAGTAGTAAAGCGGGGCAAAGCTTGATTTCTGCTGTCAGTGAGTAAATTCCACAAATCACTGGCGGGTTTTGCATTTCCCTTATGATTCTAATCCTTCTTTATATCAAACAGAGCAGTTGTAAACCTTAGAAAACCTAACTTTCGTTGAACAAAAAGTGCACACTGGCCTCTTTGCCTTTCGGACGCAGGCTATGAAGCCCATTCAAACGGCCCTCGTAGGAACAAATGTCTGGGTGCCGCTCGTATCTTTAAAGTTTTTACATTGCAGACTAAACTTGCGGGCCTTTATGCCAATCCTGACAGTCATCTCCGTGGTTCTTTCTGAATAATTAAAATAATCCTTTATGATGCTCTGAAAGTAATCCTATTTACAGTTCTTCCATTTAGGAATCTGTGTTCCGCTTATTAATTTCCCACAATTTCTTAAAAGTTTAAAGGGTAGGTAGGCAACTGTCAAGGCACATATTTTGCTTCTCATACTGACTGTATGTGACAGCATTTATTCTAAAACGAATCACGCAGTTGACAAGCTGGACCAACCCACGGGCTAGATCGGAGTCTAGCAGGCGTTATTGGGAATGCGCACCCATAACAAATGTCAACGTCTGGGGGTGTGGAGGAACGCCCCGCCAGTTTGGATCCGCCGCGCCAGTTTGGATCCGAGCCGCCCCCTTTTTGGTGTGTAAAATCCTGGTCAGTGTTCTTTGTGGACCAGGAGGTGTGTTGGTACGCCTGAGTGCGGGTTTACGCCATGCCAGCCACCTGCGCCCTCTCCCGCCCCCAGTCTTCTTGGCTCTGTCTTGCCATCGGATACAGGTGGGGGAGGGGAGGAGAGACTTCAGCAGATGCATTGAAACGGACTCACGCGCAAGTCATCATCCCTGCTGTGGAGCACGGGGTGGACATCGTCGGCAACGTCGGTCGGACAGCCGCGGGCTACGTGCCTTTCTGGCACTATTTAACCTTTCTTCTTTTGTCTCGAGGGGCAGCAGACAACTGCACGTAACATTTCCGTAACTACCTAGGAGACTTTTAGGAGGAGTGGTAGGCATCAATGAAGCACATCTGAATCTTCAGTAATATTTGCACTGTATGTATTGGACATATGATTACTTCACTGCACTTGCATGTCAGTGCGTATAATTGGACTTGTTGCGCTGACATCCGTAGTTCCTAAGCCATACAACACAGTTTGGGTGGCGGTAGTTTTGGAATGAGGTTCTTGTCACCAATTTCCCAGTCTAAGACTCATGTCCAAGTTTTTTTAAGGAGAGAGCATAGGGCTCTTAGCCGCTATTTACTTTGGTCGTGGTCTTAACCAACATTATGTCGACGGGAACTAGGGGCATAAACACTGCAATAAACTAAGATCACATCAAATATTACGAAATTGCGCAAATTCCCAACGGCTACTAATCGATGTTTTCCCTCATTTTCTGCTATTTGATATTCCCGTCATGGCCACCGGTAATTTCTAGTGATCATGGTTCATTCGTCTTCCAAGTAGGCTGTTTCAGTTCGAAAATATCACATAAACACAGTTGCATTTTAAAGTTATTTACATCCTTGACGACGACTGTCCTTGACCTACTATAACATTAGAGGTGAAGGGAGCTTGCTTTTCTGACATTTTAACCATCACGGCTTTTATAAGACCGTCTTCTTCGAGCTTAAATAGCCGCCCAAAGGACACCGTTTGAAGTCAGAGAGTAGTTTCGCGATCTGTTCATTATTTTCCCGCAAGTGCCTATGACACTAAAATAAACGGAAGTAGGCGAATTTGAGGTCTGCTAAAAAAGTAAATTTCTTCTCTCGTTTTCTGATGGTCACCTGACTGCCATTTCCTTTGCGCTCCCACCCACTCACTTCCATCGAACACAGTATAATTGACCATTCGAGTCATATACATCTGATAATTGCAGCATACATCGGGGAAAAGACTTGTGTTTTATTACTAATAGACATGAAGTGAGTTAAAATCTGCCCCGAAATTTCAATTACCATTTGATTTGGGGATTTCAGCTAGCAAGTGCATCGGAAGTGTGGTTAAAGCGCTGAAATATGGGATATGATAGCACCATATGTAAGTATATCATTTGACGGAAGAAAAGTTCTCTCTAAAAACACACTCACGCCTGTCAGTTCTATTTAAATTCACTAGGCCCCGACCGGCCTCATAGCCTGTCACCTTATGAAAACTTTTGTTCCTATGACGTCCCCATCGATGAAATCAAGCAAAATTCTGTTTCGCTTGTTGAACCCCATCTCATTTAACTGAAAAGAGTCAAGGATAACACGAAACCCTGGAAAACTATTTTAGAATCTACACTCAGAATGTAGGCAGTTGACAAACCGTCATATATGAAATCACACCAATTATTAAACGATATTAAGATGTAAACTTCACTCAAACATTATTATTAGACGTTATTTTATTTCTACTTTCATATTTACTACGTTTTTCTTATGAAAATATATTTTATACATCGAAAAATGTGATTTACTACATTAGAGCCATTTCTGACGTTTTCGCAATATTGCGCTTTTTAAAATAAATCGGCATTTCTAAACAACGCAACACTGCCTTTAATGTTTCTTCTATGTTTTTAATTCTTTAAAACTTGTACTTAATTAGCATAGACATTGGACTCGTGAAATGGTGTCGGTTGGCGAGTGATTGGCAATCAGTCGTAAATTTCAACACATTTCATGAGTTAGGTTACTAACCGGATATATGTAAACAAGTTAGTATCGACAAAAACCAGAGATACTGTGGTGGTCTTTTTCGGCTTATTTATCGAAATCAGTCAGTCATGCCCAATCCCAAGTTTGGAACACCTGGGATTCGCACCCGGGTTCTTTTGGTTACTAAGCTTTTGTAAGTCCAAAGCTCCAGTTATTGATCCAGGGGCTCGTCATGTCTGTTGTGACTTGGCATATTAACTATGATACGAGGACGCTCACCGATCAGGTTGCGGAACGTGCCTGTCCTTAAATAGTTGAACTGGAATAAAATGACCAACCCGAAATTCGAATATGCCTATTAGCAGGCTAGTGAAGTTTAAAAACATACGTTCTTCACTAATAAAAGGCCGTGTTTTCCCACTTTTTAAAGAAAAGATATCGATAATTCCACGGAATAACTCCACAAATGCTCATTTTTTAATTATAGGCTTTTAGCCTGAACCTCACTTATTCCTTCAAATATTACCCCTTCACGGGGAGGAGTAATTTCCTATTTTTGGGTAAGTGGGTGGTACAGTGGAAGATACAGCCGTTCAAATTGATGGACCAGGACGTTAATAGATGGGTTAAGAAATGTTATAAGTCTTTTCTAATGAAACTTAGAAAAAAATGATAAATATGCTTCCTTTCGTTATTGGCGAGTGCTTGAATGGTTCCAGTTAATGATGACTATCCGGGAATTTAGTAGGAGTTTCATTTTCCAGTCAGCACTTGACAGACATGCATGCGCTGTTATTCAGGGCAACAATAATGACTGATTTCAATCTGCACAATATTGGCTTACTAGCCTTTTGCAAAACCGCAAACGCAGAATGCATGATTTCACCAGCTTTAACGGCAAATATCATGTTTGATGATTTCTGTTCAATTGAAAAAAACGCATCCTGAATAGCGCTTTGGTGGGAAAAAATTAAAGAAACTTCAGGGCTTTATACGACGCCTGGGCATAATTGTTCTTTTCGAGAAGCTGTATCCTTGTGTATCCTGCCAACCGCGCGGACAAAACCAGACTTTCCGCTCACAAACCATGCAGTCAAGAAAGAGTGACACCGTGTTTATTGATGTTTGGGACCTTCATACGTCCAAAGTCATGTGGCTCAGTGGTTTGGTGGGCACTAAATTGGTCGCCCTACTACAATCCCAAAACTACAGTTTCAAAAGTTTTCAATGAGAGCTAGATTTGACAAAACCTGCTTAAGCCTTCAGATTTTCTTTAAATGGATAGATGAGCGTCCAAATCTGCATTAAAACACGTCCGGAAATAGGATAACGGTAATTATTACGCAATAAGTAGATCTGGTATGCTGGGAATATTTTAGGTTAATTACTACAACAAAAGTCAGGTTTCCGTGTACGAGAAAGGGTAAAATTTTAGGGTTTCAAAATATTCATAAACTTAGATTTTATCACAAGCACTGTTCCGACACGCCGCTACCTTTGCTACCGACACTTTATTCGTGGCAGGGGCGTCCCTGTGGCTTCAAGTGCCTGTTTGTCCCCATAGGTACCCACCTTGTGGAGGTGTCAGCCTGGCGTCCTGTCGGACAGTCAATAGTTAGCCGTCTACGGCGCTTCTTTGTGGGTGGCACCCCTCAGCTGGAGGACGCAACCTTCGCCATGATACCCTCAGACTTTCAGGTAACGTACCCCACCCTCTCTCTCACACTGTCCCCTTGACCCTCACTTTTTCCCTTACTTCTGAAAGATCCACTTACTTGATTTCTCTGTGTTTGCGAACGTTAAATGACCTGCCACTCTGGTGACATAGACATTAGCTATGATCCCAGACCCTGAGCGACAAATTGCTTTCCGACCGACTTTAAAACAACTCCATGTAGATTAGACGTAAGCCAAGACCTATATGGTGCAGCGTCCACCTAGCTGAACTGATGTTGCCGTGGTTTCCAATGAAATACTCCAGTTAGGTGGGGTCAATGGAGGAGGTGGCCAAGAATAAAGATCAAATTAGAAGGATATTTTGAAGTCCACCAGATAATATGGCGGAAAGCAAGTCAGACTAAGAGATTTCAGAACGGCTGGGGATTGTCCTAAAGAAGGCAGCCAGCTAAATGCTTGGACGCTAAACAGCTTTAGTGATTAATACAATGAACGAGAAAACTAATGCAGACCAACGATGGAGGACAGGAAAGAAAGGGCACACTTATGTCAGCAGATATGTTCACTTTTATGAATCAAAGAGGTGGAGAGCAGTATGGGTAAACATGGGAAATGGGGCATCAGCCAAACGCCAGATTAAGAGCTGGGCGAGGGAGAAACCGAACTTGTCACAGTACTTTCGGAAATCATTGAGCAAGTGCTAACTTTTACAGGCCTGCGGAACAAATTTGACGAGTAGACAAGCACCCAAGATATCAGAAGGATGAAAGCTCCTTAGGAAAGGTTGCAACTGACATATCGTAAGTAGCTTTAAAGCAGCCTTAAAGTGATCCTTTATCCGTGGAACGAGCACCATTTTTAACGGCCGTGCTGAGGCGGTCCACGCAGTCTATTAGACCAGCGATAAAAAGTAGTAGACTGACGAAGAATTAATTCGCTCTTTTGACTTCTGTATTTGTATGTTTTCAGATAAGTGGAGATAATAGTACAGTTCCTAATCAAACCTTGAGGACTGGAAGTTTGAAGATAAATGGTTGAGAAGGAAAATTAAAAATTGCTTCAGTTGCCTGGACGGCTTTGGCACGAGTGGCCACTGGGTAGTTTATGCAGAACGGGTCTGCCACATGAGCCAGAATTAGGGGATACATTTTTTCCGCTGTGGGGAAGTACCATGGAGCAGAAGTTTGTACTCCGATCTATATCTTTTTGGAGCGTATTTTTGGGATTCCCAATAAAGGGGCCCATTATAATGTGGAATTATTCTAGGTTGCGTCAAGCTGAGCACCTGAACGTATGCTAAAGAAAATCATTCCTGTGGAAATTAGTATCACTTGGAGTCAAAGTCTCCGTGTGTAGGTATGAGGTCTCTAAAGGCCGAGAACAAATGTTCCGATGCACGCAGAAAAATTCAGATTATGCCGAGAATGCGTTCGCCGATCGGGTTACAGAATATGCTCGTCCTATTGTACTTTGTGACTTGACGTATAGTCGCGCACTCAGCCGCACAGCGACGCGTAATATGGGCAGAAGACGACCATCGACAAAGACAAGGGAGACTGGAATGGCCATTTTTGGCTTATTGGTCGTCGTCAGCCAGCCTTACCCATATCCAGGTTTTGTTTCACCCGAGCCTTCAATCCGTGTTCCTTGCTGATCGATTGTTTAAGTTCGACTCTCTACCGACTAAGTCACATGTTCGTTGTCTTGTCGGTTGCGATCGGTAAGCCTCTTCAGCCGATACTGTTAGCCGCTGTGCAGCTCTCTACAGGACTTTGGATCAAGCCCCAAGGTACAACGAGACGATCATGCCCTGTAACCCGATTGGTTGACTCAGTTCTAATAGTTGACATTTCCGATCTCAACCGACAGGACGACGAGCCTGTGGCTCAAGTGGTAGAGTATTAGACTCACTAACGCCCGATGACCAAATAATGCGTGAGTCTGGTGTGGCAAAACCTCGGTTTCGGTAAGGCCGGCCGATGGCGGCTAATAAGACAGAACTGGCCACTCCAGGCTATTGCACGATTCGCAGTCAAAGAGGGGTCATTCTGTCAAAGTTTTTCAGCAGTCCCAGGATTCAGAAAAGTCTACTTTGTCTCCATAATGAGAGAAGTACAACTTATAGATTCTGTACAAATCTCCCCACAGAAAACCGTGGCCTCAGTATTTCAACTCATTTAAACTTCTGGCCACATGAGACCAGCGGAAAGATGATTGCGCTGTGAGCTACGCACCAAGGGATACGCTATAATTGACAAATATTTCACATGCTGAAGCCTAATCACAACTTATCAACAACGTACGCATATGCCCAGCACGCTTTAGCCGTGGAACGCCGATCTGGGGATGCCGCAGTGAATTTGCAAGGCCCTATTTTTTATATTGTGTACCATCTCACAGGCCCAACGTTTTCCGAAGGGTTTATTACAGGCATCGATACTAGCCACGGCTATTCAATTCGACTGGGTGCTCCGTTGAGGACCTTGGACACTTTTGAATTCTCGATAATAAATCATACTTTCAATTTTTGAAGGGATCTAAGCTCTCAAAGTATGGATTCCGTACCGACGGCGCTGGAAGCCTGTTCCTGCGATTTTATGCGATTCAGCAATGCTGGTATGTTTTGATCTACTTGTTTTAACCCCTACTCATTCAGTACAGCGTGAAAATGCCCTAACTACGAACCCTCGTCCACGACCTGCCCTTAATGAACTGATTAGTTCTTCAAGCTAACAAAGAGCATACCTGCAGCTCGGTCAGCGACTTTGATACAACGTATGAGCGCTGCGATTAATAACTCTAGCCGAGAAGACGGCCGCTCAGCGCCTGACTAAAGAACTAATTAATGACCTCGTCCGTTTCACGTTCACCACCACCACCACCCAACGCCCAAAGCATCGTCTTCCGTTTTGACCTGCAGCCAGAGTCGACGCTTCAGACTGTGCAGTAAGCGCTCTTCGACATGCGTCACTCAGCAAAAGGGAGTCGTGTGAACCAATCACACTGCTAATTTATCACGTGAACTGCTGTCTGGAAAACTGGCTGACAAACGTGGCTATCTCATGGGGTCATAGGGGGCTGAGTGCTATCCAATTTCAGATGCGACGAATAAAAACGACCAGTTTTAAAATGTATTTTTGTGTTCAGATACCAAGGGCCTCATCTGCACAGTAGTACTGGTGGAATTCGTGTATCTGCATCCAACTTTGTCCATAAAGCAGATCTGACATTTGTCCTACCGGTCACGTAGGTTTGTCTACATCGCGCAAATCCCCTTACTGTCTGGGTCACCTCCGTTCTTTGTTTAAAGGGTTAAATGATGTGCACAACTCTGGCCTTTTGCAAACCTACCGAAGTTGGATCACAATAAGTAAGCTGAGCACCGGCTTATGTGCTAACAGCGGTCGTCCTGCCTCATAACACCATCTGCTGTGACCTAAGTCAGTAAAATAGTGGTTATCACTCGAATACCTAGTGTCAGGAAACAATTCTAACCCAAGACAAAAGAATTATCGGAGTAACTTTCTGTCCTCAGTTACGAGCTCAACATAGGATTCACCTCCGGGAGTAGTGAAGTTCATTGGCACCCGTGCGAATGGCTGATAATAGTAAAATAAAAAAAACATTAACGGCTATTTCGGTTTCCCTTGTTCTTGTTGATGATAAACCTCGAATAGTGATTGCTCGTTCCTCTGGTTCTGCGCCTATAAAACGTGATAGAATTCCCCGTATGCCATCTTGAAATCAGGATATAACGACGGACGCCATCCCAAATGAGTCTATATTCTCAATCGCAGTCAATACAGCGTGGACCTGCTAGGTAGGGAGGGGGGGCGTTAGACTTAAGTGCTCAATGACCCCGGTTCAGGCCTCGTGTGCAGCAGTGCACGAGGTCGGAATATGACTGAACGGTGGTACTTAATGAACCGCAAATGGGCATTTCAGACTTATATACTTTTGTCTATAACAATTTCCGACTGTCCGAATATTCTTCCCTTATTCCCGGGAGCGTCTTAGGGCAACATAACTTCAGATTCGAAGTTCGGACACCCACCTTGAAGAGGCAACTGCAAGTCGTCTAAACAGAATTTATGAACACCTCGAAGTTTACGAGGACGAGAATTGTGGATGCCGGAAATAATTAAAACTATCTAACACCGACCTTAGAGCAGGATTTTGGTGCGTTGACTAAGGATTGATCAAAGTCAGACGCTCAGAGGATCATTCCCACTCCCTACCCAGTCTTCGTAAGAGAACACTCAGGGGGACCTCTCAAACTGGCGATATCTCAGGGACCTAAGCAATGTATAACGGTCAAAAGGCGCTCAGGCGGACTGTTGTGTCATGATCACATGCTATCCGGTATGCATACAGTAGCCGAATAGGATGGATGCGCATCAACCTGCTTCAGAGCTCTATTGCGCTTTAAGTGCATCACTGTGTTGGTAGCTCCTCAATCGTATATGACCGATGCTCCATGGGTACTAGATCAGAAACACCGAATGCAATTAAGGCTCTGCTTGCTGTTTTCACAGCGGTCAACCAACGCTTCCTGTCACCAACTTGGACGTTTGTGTGCCTTCAGTCGTTTTGAACAACTTAGTCCACGGTAGTTTGGCACATTTCGGTTACTTATGACGGAGAAAGACGAGGGTTGCTGCCAACAACAAGAGTTGTTGGAATTTTCTCTATCCTCGGGCTCTTCTCGTATAGTTTACGGTGCATAATTCGCCGAAACATCCACTTTTCCACAGTAGCAATTCCTGTTTGTTGCCTCAATGACCAATTTTCAGTGTTCCTGAGTCCACCGTTTTCTAGGGGGGCATAAAGTTTTTAAATAGTTGCCTGCTTGACAGAGGTGAGATACGCTTTGGACATACTTCTACTTGTTGCGTTATTCATCGTGACCAACTCAGCAGTCAGTTTCGTGTTGAAGGTCGACCGTGTCTCTAACAATCGTCTTCGAATGCAACCTCTTTATGGCTGACCCGTGGACATGGCGAGTCAGTCGACTAGCCAGCCACGCAGGCCGTAGTCTAGAGGGACAGACTTGTGCTAGAAGACAGCTCCACCCATGTCTTTAGACTTCACCAGCCAATGCGGCGTCCGACCAGTGTGGCGAATGGTCAACCTGAAACGATAAATTAGGGCGCGATTGATAGGCTAATCCTGACGAGTGGTGCAGTCCTCCTCAGGGACCTCGACGAGACATATTCAGAAAATAGCGCATAAACATTATTGATCGAGTACTTCCAGACGGCCAGTCGCCGGAACACACGAGTTATTGAAGTTACTTAAGCCTCTTATATTAGATCGAGCTGTTAAAACGAAAAACGTTTCGACGATCCGAACATCTGGTAACACAGTGTATTAATTTTTGGAATATCTGTACGTGGTTTTCCGCGTGTTTCAGGGAATTCATGGAAAAACAAAGACCGCCTCTGCTTAGAAGACTGATAGTGGATAAGTTTGCGTAGGTCACCACTCCTTTTCCAACCGAATAACTCCTTTTAGAGTGGATTCCCACCGACTGGACACTCTGACCGCGATAAGTAAGATCCTTTTCAAATAAACATTTGTTTAAAACTTTACAGAAATGTACCAGGAAGCACGAAAAAAACTACTACAAGCGAGACGGGGAGTTCAAAAGCAAATGGAATTGTACGCGTGAGCCTTGTGTACACATCTGCATGAACATTTACATTTTTTCACTCAAGTAAAGTCAAAATTAAAATACAAAGACTTGTTTTGGAAGGGGGGTCAATCCAGGCAGGTAACTGGGGTATGTGGAAAATCACGCATCACCACGCCTGCACTTCGATGTCTCCCCCCGACACTGTGGACAGTACCACTTCCCTTTCGGCTGGACACGAATATCCACACAGCCGAAGTGGAACCACTCGATAGGGCATCTCTTATTGTCGCAAGCAATCATCTCCCCGAAGGAGACTTTCTTGCAGAGGCAATAAACCCGCTCGCCGGTACCAGTGGTGCCATCCTCACAATTGTTGTCATCATCCTCGGTATCATCGCCCTCATTAGCGTTAACCGAATCAACCAAATTGGCACCACCGAAGCCTGTCACGGTGGCAGCTGGCGACTGAGGGGCAGGACTGCGGGTAGCGGAATGGTTTCTCAACGTTCCCGTTGACCGGCCACGCTTGGATAAATGATAACCTGTGCTCTGTGACCGCTCCATTTCAGAAGACTTGGAAGCTACCAGATCAGGGGAGTTAGCCGATCTGCGGAGAGAGCTTCGGTAGCTGTAGTTGATAGAACTAGATGTCATTCGGCTTCTCCCACCAGCAGTGGATGAGATGGTAGTAGAGGGAGTCGTTATCTGTTGTTTAGAGGCTGGGCTGGGGACCCGACTGCCACTTCGATTTTCGTTGACGGTATAAGCGTCGTTCGAGAGGGTTGAGTCGTTGGAGGTTAAGTCGTCATCGTGATCCGTCACCACGCCCTCGCCGCTAGGCAGGATATCTTCGTTGAAGCGACCGTTTGCCGGGTCATCCCTACTGGGCTGGCCGAAAACATGTTGAGTACGCTTGTGCAGATCGAAGACCCTCGGCTCCCTCAGAGAAGCGGCACCATCTGAATTGGAATCATAGTCACTCTGGTCGGAAGCGCTGTCCGCATCACAAGTATTACTGCTAACCCCTTGTCGGCGGGAGTCTTCTGGGTTCACTGAGCTGTTGCGCGTCCGTTTTCTGGCGTCACCTGCTGACTTGTGCGACGATCCACCAATATTAGCACCATGAGAAGGTACGTGGCGTGAATAGGGCAGTGCCGATCGGGAGTTCTGTTCCAGGATGCGAGACTTGGAGGACGTCGTAGTCCGAGATGCCGAAAGCATAGGTGGAGAGGGACAGGCTGAATTTCCGCGACCCCGACCACCTCGTGGAGACATCAGATGACCTGGCTGATTTCCTGTGGCAGGACTAATGCTGCTATCAGCGGCACCAACGGATGGACGTAAACCAGAGGACGAGCACTTGATACCGGCACGCATACCGCGCATCTTTATGTTCTTAGAAGTAGAGGGTACTGCTTGAAGTGAGCGCTGGGATCCGGAGCCGCTGCCCCCACTGTCGGCCATACGATGTCTTCGCTTGCCAGCATTTAACCACTTTGTGCCGCGCAAGAGGATGTCTGAAGAAGCTCTACGGAATCTATGTTGCTTAAGTCTCTGAGCAAAGCGTTCTTTCGTGCTGGACGGGCCTTTGAATGGGCCAGTTCGCCTGGGATCTGACCCAGGTCGACCGGTGGGACTGAAGAACTCCTCCGATTTTTTGCGAGAAGAGCTTAGGAAATTCCGACGCGGCTGCCAATCAGTGGACTGGAATGCACTCGTTAGACTACAGAGATGCTGGGCATCGTCCGCAAATACTGCGGCTTTCGACGACAACATGAGTTCTGATATTTGCTCAAGGTCTTCTTCCAACTGGGAAAGTCAAGAGATAAAACAGCAAGATATGTTTGAATGCATGTGTAGTGAGTGGAGAATTCGAAATCGAGAAAGTAATCCTAAGAGTTTTTAAAATAATTACGATAGGTAATAGGTCCATCAACTTTCACACACTGCGATAGCTGAGTCGGCCAAGTCAACACTCCCAGTTCTCACGCTCGAAGCGTCCGATTTATTAAAGGTCCGAGTAAAATATAGAGAAAACTCCTAGGAATCCTACTCAAAACAAAGTAAAAACCAAGAGTAAAGTAACCTCCAGCCGAGTGGCCAATGTCAAGATGACTTTGAAGCCAACGGTATGGAACTAATACCTTGAGCACATCTGCATCAATGGAATTTTCTAAGACACTGGTTACCAGGAAATAGAACATTCATGCGCAAATTTGGCTTTACGGCTCATGCCATGCACTACAAATAAATGAATGGAATGAGGACAGGCCGTACTTGCTCTGTATTTCAGAACATGCCGTAGTTACAAGAACCCAAAAAGCCCTTAAGCGGAGCTCGTAGTCCGCTCCGAAATAGGATGAAGTGGAAGAAATGAGGTCTGCGTGTTAAAGATATACGACTATTTTTAAAAGACTAAGAACTACAAATAAATATGGTCCTCAAACGCAATGGTTATAACTACCGTGAACTATAGCGCTCCCACAATTGATGAAAAACAGACAGGAGTCCAAACTTTCATGTAAGGAGAGAGTAGGAAAAAGTGGAATGAGCAAGTAGGACGTTCTTGAGCTACGTTTGCTTACAGGAGACGCAATCATTATTATGCTGTTTCCTGTGATGACAATTGCGATTACGAAGACCGACAATTGTCATTAATGACACCGGTTGTACAGATTGCAATGGTGGTGAGAAGAGTTGTGTTAGGAAATGGAACGTTGATCGAGTTACCAAAATTAACCTATGCCCATATTTTCAAGTAAGGAGGGCCACGGTGCAAGATAATTGGACATCGATTAATGCAATGGCATTTCGACCCAATTGGGTGGCATCGAAAGACGGGTTGCGACCAGGTTATGTTGCTCTTGCCTCAAACATAATCACTAGCTTACTGTGTTGATTTCTGAAATTTTCCCGTCATAGAGCTCATTTAATGCGAGCAGCAAGGACATCATTTCTGAGATAATCTTCTCGGAACCGCAGATATGCTCCGCTTTTACGGCAACCGCCTCCAGCTGTCGCATATAACGGTCCTGGACAGCATCCATATGTAGCGCTGAAGAAATCTGCTGCTGAAGAAGGCATGGAATCGCCTGTAGGTTCTTGATATAATTGGCGAAATAGTCGCTCACATCTCTGCCGATCATCGTTTCACAAACAACAACTTTGAATCTGGCCTGTTTTATTTTGATTATTCAAAGTACATCGGTGGTTCATATGCCTTTAAGTAATTAATAATTGTCTACGAACTAAGAATCAAGCTCAAAAAATTTGGTGACAATATAAAACATTTTTTCAGAGACCTCCAAACGTATAACCTCTAAGTAAAGCGTTTTGGTGCTCAGTGGAAACTTATAATTTTAAATGTCAGGGGCGAAGTAATAAGATGAGTGCAACAACTTTCACCTCCATGAAAGCAGTCACAAGCTCACTAAGGGACGTACAAAGCGAAAAAAACACACGGGTCACAGAAAACGAATCTCTTAAAAACGGGATAAAATCTAATCCGCTGCCAATATAACTTCCTTGTCCTCTCCAAAGGTACTTGGCTGGTTAAATCCGTCTGTAGGGAATGACTTCCAGAATCTGAATAAAAACAATCTCATCGATTTGGTTTCATACCTTGTTCATCAACTGCTGGTTTATTTTGCGTCCCCATAGCATCCTCGATAGCAGTACTCAATCAGTTAATAATAGGAACTGAGATACAAGTTTATTAGTAGCAACAAGGATATGGGAAGTAATGTGGGGGAAAACAAAGATTACAGGATGTTGAGCTGGATAGGACCGTTGACCAGGAGACGGATTCGCCAGTAGGCCAAAGGCATTGATGAGCCAGGGTTCGACTGCAGATACCGACGCTACGTATTGGAGGAAACAGAAGAGAGTGCCTCGAAGTTCCCGCCAGCTATTTTCCCTCGCGACCTCTGCAATACTTTTGTGAGACTGAATACTGTCCACAGGCCCATCTCGACGTTGGGTGGCGGAACAACGAATTCCACGGCCATAGGAGGGATTTGGTCCATGGTCAATATGGGTAGGGTGCTGGTTGACCAGAGGGTTAGTTGCCCGCGATAGGGTTGAGTTTCGGGTAATGGATTGTAAAAAGAGACGCTTGGGGTATAATTGAGTCGCGAATTAGAAAATTCGAAGGAAGGAAAACATCTGGGATAACAAAAGGGTCCTGCCAGGAGTGGGGAAATTTTGCTATTGTCCCGCGGGGTGCTGTCGCGTTGAAATGTAAAACTAAGACACCACTTTGGTGTGATTGTCCAAAACATCGATCGTTATGGTTCAGTTTTTGGTGCGTCGCAGCCGGTTTAGTTGTACAGTGGGCTGCGTTTTATGCTTACCGAATGGCCTGGCAAATTTGGGTGCAATAGTAGCTTGTTAAACTAGGGTCCGGGCTGGGAAGGAATGGGTCAAGTGCCTTGATAGTCTCCAAAGCACGTAGAACGACCGGGTTTATCCTCCGAAACTTTAAAACTAAGGATATTAAATGCGCCTTCTCAACATGTACGTTAGACCTTGTTTGGAATACTGTTCGTTTTTATTTAGCCTCATGCGTGCAACTGAGCTGAAGAAAATAAAATCCGTTCAACACCTTTTTACCAAGAGAATTTTAACCTCGGAACATCGACATTTGTCTTACCAAGAACGTTGCCGGCTTACAGGCCTTGATCCTTTATGGTTTCGTAGATTACGAAAGGGACTATTTTTGCTATTTAAGCTTTTATATAATCGTACCTGTAACCCACTCACTTCTTTAAGACATTATGTTCACCCCCGACGTAACAGTCGCCGTGAGGTTTTTTTATTTCTTCCTCTGGCACGTGCTGTTAAATATCGTCGGTTCTTTTCTGTAAATGCAATTGCTATTTGCAATAAATTACCCATGAATGTGAAAACTCTGCAAAATTATCCTTTATTTAAGAGAACTATTACTCAATTTTTGCATTCAGAAAAGTTCCCACAAATTTTGGGTGCTGAATCTACTGATCGACTGTACCGCAGCGATGGCGTTTGTGATCTCTGGCCACTATGGCCGGTCTCACCAGGGACAATTTCGTTAGCCAGCAGCGATAGCTGTTCTTTGGCGCTTCTGTTTGGACTAGCCCTAATTTCATGAAAGGAATTGGCGACTGATCATATCCGATACCGTGCAACTCCTACCTTCCTTACGGTCGACAGCTTGCCGTCAGCAGTTTTTTCTCCGGAACCTTCCAAACAATAAAAACCACCATCAACTTTATTTTCATTCCTTTTCGACAGGAGTTTATTTTTCACTGCTGGCCGGATTTGTGTTTAACGCTTCCCTGAAAATATCTGTAAACTAGCATTAAATAAAATTATTATTATTAGATACGTTTGGAGGGACCCGTATCAATAACATGTCGCTGACTACTTGTACGACCTAATTCTGTAGGCGGCCAGGTGCAAACTTCTGGGATGGACTTCATGATGTACTTAAGCTTTGTCAGGTGTGGAGTATCAATGTTAGTTCCTTGTGATAAGAGATCGTCGACGTTCGTCGGTGTGGATGACGCCGAAGTCACTGCGGCCTCCTCGATTGTGCTAAGCGTGTGTGTTGGATGTAAGCTAAGCTCTCTTTCCTCGACATAAGTGACGCAATCAGCTAGGGCGAGGAAATTTATGCCTAGTTTAAAGTTCCAACCAAGTTTAGGTGTGGCTAAGAAATAGTGGTCGGTCGTTGCAGATTAGAGCCGCACAGCCAACTGTAATTCATCGATTACCTCCACCGCGGTACAGTTGGTGGCCTTCGGCTTCAGCAAATAATAAGGTCTGAGCACTCATATATATATATATATATATATATATAGGCAGAATGATATTACCGACAAAGACTAGGGAGACTGGAATGGCCATTTCTGGCTTATTAGCCGTCGTCAGCCAGCCATACCCAAGCCCGAAGTGTGGAACACCCGAGCCTCGAACTCGCGACCTGTTGGTTTAGAAGTCAACGCCTCGGGTGTTCCACACTTCGGGCTTGGGTATGGCTGGCTGACGACGGCTAATAAGCCAGAAATGGCCATTCCAGTCTCCCTAGTCTTTGTCGGTAATATCATTCTGCCTATATATCATGCGCCGCTGCGCGGCTGCTAGTTGGGCTCAAGAGAGAGTCCTTAAGGCACAACGGAACGAGTGAGTTCCGTATTAACCATCGGTGAGCGCCCCCTAGCATTATATATATATATATATATATATATATATATATATATCAGGGCGGATACGACAGAGTCTGGGGGTAGATTGATACAGCACTGTTTCGGGCTTGTTTGCCTTCATTCAACCAACCATAACCCTGACCACCGGGTCACGGTTTCTCCATCTGAGGAGGGGTCTCGAGGTTGTGCCTGACGTCTGAGGCAGTTCTTCACGAAACTGGAAGCAATCACCCTGCGGCTCACAAAAGAAGCTGCGTCCGAACCCTCTTCCACCGGGCCTACCGGTATTGCAGCAATGACGATCTGCTGAAGAAAGAACTAGGCTTGCTATATCGTCTATTTCGATCTAACTGATACCCAGTCAGTTTCGTGAAGAACTGCCTCAGACGTCAGGCACAACCTCGAGACCCCTCCTCAGAGTGAGAAACCGTGACCCGGAAATTCTTCTCCCTGCCCTACATGCAGGGGACCTCAGAAATGATCGCCCGTCAGTTAAGTCAGTTCGGTATTCACGTTTCCCACAAGCCTGCATCCTCGCTGCGCACAGTCTTAACTCGAGTAAAGGATTCTATCCCTAAGAGGAACAGACTAACGTAATTTATCGCATCCCGTGTGCCAATTGTCCCTGCGTATATGTTGGTCATACAGGACGACGCCTGGGAACTCCTACTAATGAAAACAAACTAGCTGTCCGTCGCCGTGATCCACTGTCCCTCGTCTTTGCACACGCACTCCAGTGCGACCACCGTTTTAATTGGGATAACACTGAGGTCATCGCCACGGCCAACACAAAACGGGCGAGAGAATTCCTAGAGGCATGGCACTCTAACGCGGACAGCATCAACCGCCACGTCGACCTAGACGCCCATTATGAGGGCCTAAGATCACGCCTCACTAAGCCGAGCCCCACGCCGCATCAGCAGCCGCTAATCCAGGCGCCCGCAGTTCTGCCCACCTACCATTCTTCCTCCCCTCCAACACGGGGAGCCGTAACGGTTCCCCCCCCCCTTTCTACCCTCCCGGCTCAGAACCCAGCATGACTCCCTACCCGCATCCCTCCTCACACGCTAATGGTTCGTCCGTCAATGTTTGTCCTGTCTCGTCTATTAGTCTAGTGTGAGTGTCTCACTCTCTCTTTTCTCTTCATTTCGTCTGACGACGGGTTGGTGTCACCAATTCGAAAATTCACGAGTACAACTCGATTTTTTCCGAAGAACATCTTCCTTTTTCATTATATCGTCTTGGAATGCCTACCACTTCTCTCTGCATATATATAGGGAAGGGGATATCATACTGGCCTTTACAAACGAAATATTGCATCCGGTATCAATGGGAGTCAGCTTTGTACCGTTCGCATACTCTTGGTCTACAACAAAGTAAAAATAAATCAGGGGGCATTGCACATGCAGGAGCAA